GAAGTCTTGGTCACCTACATGAGTCCTCGTTTGCTCAAACGTGCACATGTCTTAGACCTCCAAGTAGCCTACCAGAAAACCATTTTCCACTCATTAGTAGGTTGCTGTGACCTACTCTCTCATCTCTTCAGAGCCTGAATTATTCATCTCCAGCCTTGGTGCAAGGCTCCAGGTGCCCATGCTGAAAAGAGCTCTGTTGACCTTGAGAATTTGTGTGTGTTATAATACGGATGTCATTAAAATATCACATTTGCCTGCTGAGAACAACATTATACTATTTATGAAACCATATAATTTCAATGGCTAAACTCAGCAAGATTTTATTGCTTTCTCCACCTGTAATCACAGAAGTGCTGACTCATCACCGGGGGATGTTGCTCACCAGTGAGCGGCTTCGCTGCACATCGGCAGTGAGTCTTGTTTCTCATCATTTCTATGTAACCTTTTTGTCTTTTTTAAGCAGTTAAATAGCCTCTTTCTAAAAGGTTATAATTAATTAAAGGTTCAAATTAACACCAGGAAACTTTCATGTTACAAAATTCTCAGTACCTCTGTGGCTACAAAGGGCTATATTTTTAATACCATCGTGATAAATTAAAATTCATGAATGCTTTTAAAATTTTTATAGGTATTTTAACAGTTGATTTCACTTTCTCTGAAGATAATGCTGAAGGAAGACTTCTTTGATGTACTGAAGTGATTTTTGTTTCTGTTTCCTGACCCACAGCTCTGGCTTCTTTTATTTATTTCACAACACACACACACACACACACACACACACACACACACGTATGTCTTTTAAAAAATTGGAATGCTTAAGTGATTTTGTAATTCCCTTAAAAGCCTTTGTCAGGCTCAAACGGCCATTTGTATTTCATTATGTCTTGTTTTTGTTTGTTTCTTTCTTAGTACGCAGTCTCAAGTATAACTCAGGCCCGCCTCCAGTTCGAGATCCTTCTCCTGACTCAGCCTCCTGAGTTGCTGGGGTTTGCTGCAGCGGCTTGATCCACACTATGATTTCTCCCCTCTGGGGAGGGGAGAAAAGACATGGAAATGGACAGATGGGTCGTCTGGTCCCCATTTTCACTTCCACTGCAGTTGACACCACACTGTCAAGGTCAGACGAGGGTCTGAGCCACAGGAATAGATTCAATTCTCTCTCCCCGCCTTCGCATAAACAGAGAGAGGGCATGGAGTCGCCCTTCGGACCGCAAATGGCACAGGTACGCAAGTGTGACACCTGATGGAGTAAATGACCTTTTTACCTGTGAGGATATTAGATCTACATCATTTATGCCCCTCCTCCAACCTGTTAACCTCCACTGTGCCCTGGAGCAATTATTTCCACTGGCTAATGACATGTTATATGAAGAACCATTTCCTTTTTATTCTTGGCAAATCTGCCTTTCAATTTCATTTGGATACCATCTTTGTCTTACATAGTGAGATAATGTAGACTTGAATTAACTGTCCCAAGATTGATAAAAGTTGATGTGTTGGCTGCACTTTGAGCTACCCTTCAAGCTTATAAATGGAATTTGCTGTTTTCTTCTTAAAAGGGTAGTTATAAAAGATAATTGATTATTTTGGTAAAGACTGGCTTCCCTTAGTAGGAAAGAGATGGAATGTTACAAAATGACATTTATGACCTCATGCTATTTACATAGAATGGAGCAGAAAAAAAATAAACCAACAATACTCCAACAAGGGGAGAAAACTAAGAAATTCTGGTAAAACATAGTCACTCATTTTCCCTTTGTTGAGTGGAGACCATGTACTTACCTGCTGGCCAAGAAATCCGGCAAGTGGATTTATTAATCATTTCAGGAAAATGAAGAGCGGCTTTCAAGACAACATCCTCTCCTTGGCTTTGCAGAATCTTTTTAGGTTTTACTGTTAATAACATTAAATAGGAGATGGGCAGTAAAGATATTGAAGCTGAGTCTATTATGAGAAACAGCACACATGGAGTACGGGCTCCCCGCCACTTAACTCGGCTCTCTGTGTACATATCTTTCCATTCAGATTTTTTTATTACTGTTTGCTTAGGGGGGAAGTCTCCACTGCAAGAATGTGGCAGGAGTACATTAGCCGGCCTTCCAGGGCTCTCTCTGTTCATCAGGCCCGTGGACGGCTCCCAACTTTGTAGTTCCTTGCTAGCTGGGGTTGGAGGCTGCTGCTGGCCGAAACCCAATCTCTTTGCAATAAAGGAGCCATTTGACCACATTGTATTTACTGGGGCCCTTTCTGAACCAATCAGAGACTGCCCTTGGCAGAGGGGATGAGGAGAAGTTTATAATGGGATCACTTTTGTTTGCAATTTGTTTCTAATAGATGCCAATAAGCCAGTTAACTAGGCTCCAGTTAATGGACATTTTATTGTTTCTCCCACCAACCCCACCCCAGCCATACACATGACCTTTCCTTAGAAGCCTTGTGATGCCCCCTGGTAGCCCGAGGGCTCTCTCTGCTCTAGAGAACTTGTTTGCCAGCTCTGTGTGGCCCAGCAGGCCCCAGTACTTTGATCATCCTGTCAGTGGGAAATTTACAGAACATTCGGGCTTTGGTTCCATGTGTATTTCTCCAAATATAATATCTCCCTCAAGAAATCAATGATAAGCTGTTAAACTAAAGAGCATGGTAACATCCACAGCGCAGTAAATTAATGGCCTTTTGTGGATAGATGGTTACAGATTTCATCATAAAAAATGGATAAAAGATTACATATCACGCAGAGCGAAACTTTTAATAACTCAACATGACTTTTCTTAATGGGTTTTATTCATTTTAATCATTATAGTGTCAATGATGATTATAGCCTTATTAGATTGTAGTGATTGAGGGGCCTGTTTATGAGATATTGAAAATCTCAGGCAGCTCAGAATAGCCTGGCGGCCTGTGTGGGTTTGATGTGTGACTTTATCTGAAGGAGTGGGGCTTGTCAGGAGCGTTTCAATTAATACTTTTACTAAATTGCTCCTGTCTTTGGTGACCTAGGTCACAGATGACTTAAAGATTCCACAACATCAGCTTTTCAAAACAGTTGGGCTGCAGCCGTGTAAATCAGAGGAGCTTGTGAGTGAGTGCTAGTGTTTAAATCAGGGCCAGGCAGGCAGGGCCTCCGCAAATGCTCAGTCCCTTCCTCTTCACTCTCAGCCTCTGTGGAGCTGCCCCAGGAAGGAGCTAATTTAACAACATTTTAATAACTGGATTACATGTTGGACGCAAGAATCTGAGCCTCTGTTCCCCTCACCCCGTCACATAGAAAGCCAGGACTCTGAAGTAATTAATAAGGCGCTATTGCAGAGAAATGCCCCAAGCAGAGTCATCTGGAAGAAATTATTAAAATAAAGGTGTCGGTGATGTTCCCAAGATGAAAAATGTGCTAACAATAAATAATCCTACCAGCGTCTTCAGCGGGGCTGAGGCAAGAGCACCACCCAGCTGATCCCCTCTTGATTTAATATTGATTCTTCAGAATGTCTATTTCCATTATACGCAATTCTGTCACCTAAAAATCATTCCAGATGTTTCTCTGTGAGGGAAGTCATCTGTCACAGGACTCTGAAAAGCAGAGTGTCATGGAGCCCTGAATGAGCTGGGTAGTGCATTTTCTGGCTGGTGAGCTAGTATTATCCTAGTCTCCATTTCTTCATCAGTAGAAATGGAGGTAATAACAAATCTGCCCTATTTTCCACCTAAGATGATGATGTTGATGATAATGATGATGATGATTATTTTATTTTCAAATACAAATTCTCACTCCATAGCCCAGGTTGTCCTTGAATTCGTTCCTTCTGCCCCAGTATCCAGTGCCAGGATTGCAAGTGTGCGCCACCACACTGGGCTCCTAATGGATTACTAAGAGCCACGGAGAAACCGAGGCCAAGGGTGGGTCTGGGGAGAAGAGTCGGGTGTTAAGGGACCTGCTGCCCAAGTCTGACCACCTCAGTTTGGCTGCATAGAAGCACACAGTAACACACTAGTCTGGAATCCCAGTGTGCCTGGAGATGGGAGGCAGAGACAGGAGAATCCCCAGAAACAGCTTGCCTGGCATTGACAGCAGTGACCTACAGAGACTGTGACTCAAACAAGGAAGATTTCAAGGACTGACATCCAAGGCTGTTCCCTGACCTTCATGTGTGTGTCATGGTATGCATGTGCCCTCCACATATTCACACATGACACACGCACACGCATCATGATAAAAATGTAACAAGTCTAGGGGGAATGGGGGGCTCTGGCTCAGCAGTGGAGCACTGGTCTAGCCTGTTTACAGCCTATTCCAACAAGGCCACACCTCCTACCACACCTATAAACCGTAATTCAGTTCCCTTGCGTTTTTGAAACACTTGTGTTTAAATCTCTGACCCTGAGGTCTCCATGTTGTCAGGCAGCCCAAGCTAGGTTGTGGGGAGAAGCCACAGATCCAGACCCTGCGTCTTAGTCAGGGTTTCTATCGCTGTGACAAAACACCGTGGCCCAAAAGCAAGTTATGGAGAAAAGGGTTCGTTAGGCTCACACTTTCACATGGCTGTTCATGACTGAAGGAAACCAGGACAGGAAGGCAGGGCAGGATCCCAGAGGCAGGAGCTGATGCAGAGGCCGTGGAGAGGTGCTGCCCTGGCCTCCCATGGCTCGTTCAGCCTCTGTCTTATAGAACCCAGGACCAGCAGCCTGAGAATGGCACCACCCAAGAAAATACCTCACAGCTGGAGCTCCTGGAGGCATTTCCTGAGCTGAAGCTCCTTTCTCCGATGACTCTAGCTTGTGTCAAGTCAGAACTAGCCAGTACACGCTGGTACTACACCGAGAGAGATGCCTGGTCATCTCACAGCTGCTCTGCCCTGTCTTCCTTTTCAGCCCCAACAACCTCCCAACTACAGCTAGGATGTGCCTTGCCTAGACCTGTATGTCTGAGTCCTCCCCAAACTCCTGACTCAAAGGAATGACGTAATGATGATTGTGACATGCCCGCCTTTATATTCCATCACGTAGAACCTGCACTCACCATCTCCTGCCCTTCCCACAGAATCACCTAGACCAGTCCCTCATCACACAGGAAGCCCAACCAGCGTGCTTGGATGACAGAAAAATCAACACCATGGCAACAGGTTTGGTGGCCAAGGCTAGCACTTTCAATCTTGTTAGGTCAGAATTCTGTGGCAATAGATAGATAAATACGACTCAGGGGACTCTAGGAACATGCCTCCCTCAGAGACAAAACAATAACAAGAAACAGCAGACACTTTTGCAGATTGCTCAGATGGCTTCTTTGTCCAATTTTACTGTTTGTCTTTTCAGTTCAGTAGCTTGTGTCTTTTTTCTCAAAAGAGTAAATGAACATTATCTTGCAAGTTTCTTTTCTCGTCTGGCTGGTGCTACCCAGTTTCTGCTGGAAGCCTTTTAGGTTTTAACTTCTGCTAACCCTTAGGCAACACTAAAGGGGCCCAGGGAACTGCTGATTTACACATTCGGGGAGATACTGCCTTCCGATTCTTACAGCCTTTTACATGTTCCTTTTTTCAATTTTATCTATTGCAGAGGAAAAGAAATCAGACTCTTTATAAATTGCCTGTTAATATTCAATTTCTTATATCATTGTATTATCAACAGATAACCACAATTGCTGCATGGGACAATAACACAAGATGCATTAACTATCAATAGACAGGGACACAAATAGATAACAAAGATAATATACATGAAAAATAGTCTGCCAAGCAGCGCCAGCCCCAACGAGTGTGAATTTACAGTTTCCTACAGTAGTCATGAAGGCTCCCATTGTTGATCACTCTCTGATTGCTCCGTTTCCACTGCAGACAAACTGCTCTAAATGGACACAAAGACGGTAAGTGAACCATCTATCACCCCTTTTTATTTTTATTCTGGGCTAAGAGAATTGGCAGAAGGAGAACAGTGAATGGCGGTTCCTGCTGGTTCTGTGTCAGCGGACCCTTTTAACACACCGAAGGCAGTGTGAATTATTTAAGGCACAGAACGGGAAGCAGGACTTTGCTGTCTTACTGAAGCTTAATGCCAAATGCTTCCCCATTCTCCTACGCAGTCGACTTAGACAACAAGGTTTTGTTGTTCAAAAACAATCAGTGTGAGAACGTTTGGCAGTGAGACAGAGTGGCTGAGTCAGGGATCAAGGAGCCAATAACAAGAATAAATATTGCAGATACAGAGAACTCAGAAACAATTTTGGTTCTTCTGGGAATCTTACACGGGTCCCTTTAGGTAAGTTTAGCTGTTTCACACGGCCATGGGTAACATTCCACAGACATCTCAAACCCACCGTACATAAGATAAGGTTCATTAGCATATTCTGCCCTAAATATCTCATAACTAAACAAATCAGCTCTGTACCCTTTCATCACGGTTTTGGTTTTTTCTTGGGGGGAGTGTCTTTTTTTGTTTGTTTTCTATTACTTCCATTTTATTTTTTTAATTTAAATTAGAAACAAGGTTGATTCACATGTCAATCCGAGCTCCCTCCCCCTCCCCTCCTCCTGCACCCTCTCACCAACCCTCATCCCCCTTCCCCCAATCCCCACTCCTTTCCCCAGGGAGGGTGATGCCCTCCATGGGAGGTACCCATAGTCTGTCATTTCATCCAGGGCGGAACCTAGGCCCTCCCCCAAGAGTCCTGGCTGAGAGAGCATCTCTCATTGTGGGATGGGCACCTAGGGATAAATACTGATCTACTACCCAAGGCCCCATAGATGACCTAGGCCTCCTCACTGACACACACACTCAGGGGGTCTGGATTCCCAGCCATCAGTCTGAGACCCATGAGCTCCTTTGGCGGGGGTCTTGATGGCATTGTAATTGTCCCCTGTACAGAGCTTAAAGCCCTATTCTTCCTCTGTCCACTCACTGTATCCTATCATTGCCAAGAGAGACAGAGTCACCGCTAGGCAGACAAAACAGGAACTTTAGGATGCCCTTGTGCATGGACTTTCCCAGGTGTTTTTTGGGGGTGGGTGGTAATGCGTTCACAAGGCTGTAGGTTTTAGGGGTTTTGAAAAGAGCAGGCTGTTTAAGCTGATGCCTCTTTCTAGTCTACCTTCTCCTCACCTGCACTTGCCCCCTGTCAATGTCAATTTGGGCACAGGGTGGGGAACGTTGAATTGATCCTGGGGTCACATGGGGCGTGTGTTTGGGAGGCGCTGCTATTTATGCTCCATTACTGCCAGTTGTCACAGGGTGGGGGGTGGCATACAGCATTTTTCTTTCTTCTACTGTGCTGGCTAGCCTGGTATTGGGCCGCAGAGAACTGAGGCCAGTAGCACATGGCACTGTGTGACTATGAGGAGTAACAGAACATACATATGGGGGGCTGTGGTCTGTGGACTATTCTTTTTGTTCTCGTTGAGCATGTAAGGTTGCAAGCACGGGGTCACTCATCACTGGTACTTGATCAACATACTGGTTTTGTCCTTTCAGGAGTCTGCTCAGGGGCTAGTGACATGGCTTATCAGTTAAAGGTGCTTGCTGCCAAGCCTGATGATCTCAGTTGAAATACACACACACACACACACACACACACACACACACACACACACACACACACACACAGAGAGAGAGAGAGAGAGAGAGAGACAGAGACAGAGACAGAGACAGAGAGAGACAGAGACAGAGAGAGACAGAGAGAGAGAGTCAGACAGAGGCAGAGAAACAAAATGTATATATAGCTGTGATTATATTACAGATCTTAGAATCAAGGATAATTAAAGCTTGTCAGCCTATGTTTATAGGCCCAGACCTATAGAAGGCATGTCTATAATAACTGATGACAGAAAGGAACAGATGGAGGTGTTTCTTCATCTAAAAACAATCTTAGAAACCCACACGGCTTCCCCAGTAGCAATCTGCCATTCAAAAGAAGCTTTTGGCCATGAGGTGGCTGAGCAAATCAAAATCCAAGCTCACTACCAGAGCCAAGGAGAGCACTGGCTTCTGTAAGTTGTCCCCTGACCTCCTCCTCATACTCACTATGTGGTATACACACATATACACTTGCTCACCCCACAAGCAAACAAACAAGTAGAATAAGGGAGAATTTTCTTATCATTAGCATATGCTATGAGAAAACAACTTTGATCAACCTCCAGAGGAAAGATGGAATGATTCTTGGTAATTGATATTCTAAAATACTTGGCATATGAAGAAATAAAGAATATAAAGTGAAAAGTAAAAATTAGGATTATAGATGCTTGTCTGGAAGTTCATTAAAAATATGAGAAATTTTAGTTACATTGGTGTTAATTGTTTTCTCCATTTTATACTTCACTTTTTCTTTTCTGAAATAAATTATTTACTCTGGACGCACTATAGTTTGAATTTGAAATGCTCCCCCACAGTCTCATATCTTGCAATTTGAGTCCCCACCCTGTGACCCTCTTGTGAAGGCTGAGGAATCTTTTTTTTTTTTTTTTGGTTTTTCGAGACAGGGTTTCTCTGTGGCTTTGGAGGCTGTCCTGGAACTCGCTTGGTAATCCAGGCTGGTCTCGAACTCACAGAGATCCCCCTGCCTCTGCCTCCCGAGTGCTGGGATTAAAGGCATGCGCCACCAACGCCCGGCAAGGCTGAGGAATCTTTAAGCAGTTGAGTTCGACTGGACAAGTCACCGGGAGCCAAGTTGACTTTGACTTTGACCCCAACCCCTGCTTCCTGGCTTCACACAACACGGACAGAAGCTGTTGCCTGCCATACAGACAGTGCCTTCATGCTGTCCCCACCAGGATGGGTCACAATCCTTGAAACCAGGAGCCCAAATCCACCTTTTGCCCTTAAGTGGATTCTGTCAGGTATTTCGTCATAGTGATGAGAGCAGTAATAAACACACAGACCCCACATTTTATTTTTTCTTTAAAAGAACCCCCCAGTTGTATATGCCTCAAATTACAGTAAGCTTGGGTGCACCTTGGCACAACCCCTCAGATTCTTCCTCTAAGCTTGCTGTCTTAGTTAGGGTTTCTATTGTTGTGATAAAATAGCATGACTAAAAGACATTTGGGACAGAAACGGAGGGCAGGGCAGGGACCTGGATGCAGGGGCCATGGAGGGGTGCTGCCTACTGGCTTGCTCAGCCTGCTTTTGTATAAAACCCAGGACCATCAGCCCAGGGTGGTCCACCCACAGTGGGCTGGACACTCCCTGTTAATCACAAATAAAATGCCCTACAGGCTTGCACACAGCCTGCTGTTATAGAGACATTTTCTCCGAAGTCCCGCTTCTCAGACGACTTTAGCTTGTTTCAAGTTGACGTAAGACTAGCCAGCACAGTGGTCTTTAACTTCGCCTCAGCTTTCCATTTGTCACCAACACCAGTTTTCTTCTGACTTCCTTTATTTTTGTGTGACCCAGCCGAGGAAGGGCCTAAAATAGCTTTGGTGGCAAACTTTCCTTGAGAGCACCCATCCTCACGATATTCTTCTTCTTAATAATAGCAGTAAGTACAGTTCTGGCCGTACTTGCTGGGTGCCTGGTACATTTCGTACACTATCTTAATTGACCCAGTCACTCTGGGAAGTAGGTCTTACTACCACTCACTGTACAGATGAGGAAACCAAGACCCAAGTGTTGAAGGAGCTTGCCCAAGCACACAGTCAAGATCCAACTTGTTTCTCCTAACTCATTCTGATTGTAGCATATGACATCTCTCTCTGTGTCTCTCTCTGTCTCTGTCTCTCTGTCTCTGTCTCTGTCTCTCTGTCTCTCTCTCTCTCTCTCACACACACACACAGTCTCTCTCGATGAGAGAAACCTAGGTGCTGTTCCTTTTGTATATGAATGTATCGTAATTCAGTCAAGTAGAACTCCTGATGGCTTCCAAGTGTGATATGTCACTTCCGTGTGCAGACCTTTCCCTCCATAGTAACCTTTCTGTCCTCTGGAATCCTTGCATACACAATTGCATGCTTCCTTCATAGTGCCCTGATACATGGGTTAGCCCCTCTGTACTTTCCAATGCACTCAGTCCTGCTGAGCAGTCAGTGCCTTTGGTAGGAGTCAGACGGTCATTCCTATTTACCTGCTTATGGCCAGCTCATTATACTTTTCCTATTGTACCATCATGGAATGTTCACTATTTCTCCATTCCATTTATTTGATCTTTGTAGCTGGGCTCATCGAGTGAAGGTGCTTGCTGGAGCAAACCCAGTGCATTAGATACTTTGCTGTTGCTGTGACAAAATGCAGAATCAGTTTAAAGAAGGAGTAGTCCATTTTGCCTTATGGTTCCAGAGGAGTAGAGTCCATGACTGTGGGGATAGTATGGCATGGCTTGATGGCAGCAGTGGGAAGCTAACTTGTCACATCTTTATCCACACACAAAAGAGAGAGAGAAGGGGGCAGGGAGTGAATAAAATGGGGGGCAGGAGATTGGGTAAGCCCACCTCCAATGATTGGCTTCTTCCAGCAAGGCTGAACCTCCTAAAAGTTTCATAGCCTCCCCCCAAACAGCGCCACCTACTGGTGGCCAAGCGTTCAAACATATGAGCCAGTGGAGGACATTTCTTACTGAAGGTGCTAAACCCCACTAGAACACACATAGAGGAGGGTGGAGACAAATGACTTCATATAGTTGTCCTCTGACTTTGGCATGCCTCTGTGGCATGTTCACTCCCCCCCACACACACCACAAATGTACTTTTTGAAAAGATGGAATGATGAAATAAGATTTTATGAATAATTTATTACAAACTAAAAGTAACTAGAAGTGTAAATGTAGCTAGGTCTTTGAGCCTATAAAAGTAGGATTTCCCACCCATGTTCCATTGCTGATTGGCTGGACATTACTGATGCAAATACCACTGTGCCAGATGTGTAATTGGACAGCCACTGCCAATTAAATGAGGCAGGAGATTAAAAGGGTCCAGGAGATAATTGATTCTCCAAATTAGTAACTCAATTGGTCAAAATTACAATACCTGTTGAAGTTACTTTAAATTATGCTCTGATAGTAATTAGAGGCTTCACTCCGTGTTCTATGAAATATTTCCCTTTGCCGATGAAGTACTAAGGGACTGGCAATTTAGGCAAATAAATGATCATTACTGGATGAAAGTCATTAAATTAATATAAAATGTAATGGTAGTAAATTCTCTGGTAAAAGAAAATGGTTTAATATCTCTTCAGGGACGTAGCCAAAATTCATTCTGCAAATATTTGGACACACTTTCCGAAGGTCCAGCGGCCCATTCCATTTTACAGATTGGTTTGATGGCTTCAGAAAGTCATCTTTTTTCTTTTACTGTGGCAATAAGTAATGGCGTCTATTCCACGCCTTTGTCATACCTAATTGACACTTTATAGTTCCCGAAGGGCAATTGGACAAAGACTTTTAAAAAGCTGAATTGGAAATGACTAATAAGGATTTTAAAAAGGAACTGAGAGGTTGCAGAGCCCGCGAAGCTGGATGCTATCTATTCTCTACCGTTAGCGTGAAGGCGACTTGCAGCAGTCCTCAGGATGACATCTTGCTGAAAGCCGCGCTGTCTCAAGGCCTAACTTTGACGGACCGTGTCATCGTCCCTACTGCGACACAGGCAGTGTGGTCTATGTCTCTTAGATGCTGCTGACCAAATCTTCATAAGCAACGCTGTCGTTCGTTAGGAAAAGAATTCTCCCAGCACCACAGAGTACACATACCAAGGAAAATGAGCCAGAAACAGCAATTGTGGCTTCACGCAGTGGGAAAATTCCACTTGTCGTGAGGCAATGAGAGGGTGATGGAATTTCTGGCATCCTAATGTGGCTCCATAGGAAAGAAGACTACGGTGCACCTACGACCCAATCATCTGCAAAGCATTCATTTGTTTCACTGAAAAGAAAAACCGGAAGTCCCTCCCTCCCTCCCTCCAGAGCAAGTTCTGCACCATGGTGCTTTTCTCCAGTGGACAATTAGACTGAATTAAATGGAAGTCACAGTCAGGTTGTGTCCAGAATCCCGGGACATGTGAACACTGCTTCCAAGCATAACCCTCCACTTCAGCGCAAGCAATGTGAAAGAGAAATCTGGTGTTTGGAATATGTTTTGACAAAGTGGTCCTGGGTGAGAACACTTCGCAAGGAGACCACACATTTCTGTGTCTGGGTCTTAGGAACTGGATAATCTAAGCCTCGCTCCTTGGCTGCCAGTGAGACGCTGCATCCTATTTTAAACGGTGAGCAGCTGCTTTATAAATGTTTTCAAAATAAATGTTCTGAATGTCGGTTTGGTTTCTGGGTTAAATTGCCTCTAAATTACCCCGTTCTAAAGCAGCATTTCCAAAGCTTTGGGAAGCCCTGTCTGGGGCCTGTCTAGACCTCAGAATTGGCCTGGTTTGTTTTAAAGTTCCAGCAAGAGCTAGGCTCAGTGGGTCTGCTGAGTGCCGGGGAGACACATGTGTGTGAGACTTGATGTAGAGTCCAAAGGTACCGCTTGGTTTTGTTTTCTTTATACCATGTGGAAAAATAATTTCAAAGTGATATCATGGTGTATTTCTGGAATGACATCATCCCTCGGCTTTAGAGCTTCACGAGTGAAGACAGACGAAGCGGCGGCTCCAAACCAGTGGTGCAGTGGCGCGCATCCAGTGGCACTGGAAGTCTGGTCCCAGTTCCACCCTTAACAACGCCCCCTGCTGGTCTTCAGAGGTGCCCCACTTTCTCAGATCCATCTCTAAAGCGAGGTGTTTGGAATCAAAGTAATCCCCTCCTACCATCTCTCGGGTTTTGTGAGTCTGTGACTTTACAAAAAAGTGCTGACGGGTTATCTAAATTTTAGTGTATGTTGTTTGTTCTTACTGGAAAACAAACCAACAATTCAGCGCTAATTACATACAGGGAAAAGCTGCAACCTAGGAAGGACAGCTGGGCAGACCAGAGTTCATAAATACGGGTTTATGGAGACTCAGAAGCTCATGCAATTGGGGCATAGAGCCAGCTGGAGTTAGCATCTGTCATTGCTTTTCAAACATAGGCATACTTCAGTTATCCTTTAAAAAATAAATAATAAAGCTTCAGAGAGAGCTAGAAACATTGATCAAATCAATTAGCGCACAGCCTAGCAGGTCTGCTTTGCATGCATGTGCCAGGCTGGAACATTCATTAGTATAGGTAAGCCCTGTCAGGGCTGGGTTGTGTAATCGTTTGGCATGTATGACTTCTGCGTGGCTTTAATTACCGTCTCATGAGCACCTGTGGGATAAGCCAGCACTGTGTGTCCACTGAGCCCACATTTCACCCTGAAGGGATGGAGGGTGTCACTTATGCCTGTGGCCTAGTCCTTTCAAGTCAGACTGAACGGTGGATTGGAAACTGAGGGCAAGAGCCTTAGGCACCATACTGAACTCTGTCATCCCGGTCAGTCAGAAGCAAAAGCCGTTTGCAAGTCAGCGGTGAGCAAGGAGACTCAAGGCACACCACAGCAGTACTTCTTCTCCGTCTGTGTGTCTGTCCAGGTAAGAATTAAACATCAAACAAAGAGCGATGTCTACTTTTGAAAAGTATGACTGCTAACACACAACAATAGCACAGATTAGTAAGAGTCAGGGGTATCTTTACACAGCGTGCACACATGGTGTCCTGATACTGTCTGTCCATTTTTATTCTAACCCCCTTCCCAACTGTTGGTGTTTCCTTTTCTACTTCCAGGTCTTTTGTGTTTTGTTTTGTTATCCCCGTATCTTCACAGTCTTTACTTAAGAAAGAAGACAAAGTTCACTTAGGTAATGGAGGAGTCCACTCTTTCAAACAGACTCGTTGTCCCTTTAAACTCATCTGTGCACCAACTTGGTGATAGGACTCCTTTTTTTTAATCCACCTCTGTTCCTGAGGCTCTGTCTCAAGTGAATGCACCTGACTAGAGTTTGGAGGACTCTATGATAGAGGGGAGATTCACAACAGCAAGCTATCTTATGGATATACCTGTTTATTCATTCTGTTTTATTTTTATTTCATATTTTGCAGTGTTGGGATGGAACCCAGGGTTCCACAAGCTCTGAATGTGCTCTTCCGCCTGAGCCACATCCCCAGTCCACAATCCACAGGCAACCATTTTAGAGGGTCTGGTTCTGGAGTATTTATTATATTAAAATGTTATACAACCTGCCCCCCCTCTCACACACACACACCACACACACACACACACACACACACACACACTCACTCACTCACACATGCCTTTTCTCCCCCCCCCTTCCCATTCTCTCTCCCTCTTCCTCTCTTTTCCTCTCCTAGTTTCCAAGTGCTGAGCCCAGTCCAGAGGACTAAATACCCTCCATGCACTGAGTAGGCTCTTTTCACCCAGCCTTTCTTCTGCTTCTTGGCAACAACAAACTTCCCTTCTGTCTCTGTGGGCAAGCTTATTCTGGAGGTGTTTCATGGTTTTGGGGTGTGTGTGGGGTACTTTAACATCAAAGTACTCAGCTCCCAAGGGGAGTGCAGGAAAGCAGTGTGTCTTTGATTATTCTGTATTTACCTGTCCAGGCCTCTTGCTTCCTTTTCCTGAGACACAGCCACCTGCAGACCAGGACAGAGCAGCTCAGGGAAGAATGAAGCCCATTTTAGAGTTCCAGGAAAGGTGTAAGCATGGCCAAATCAAATTATTTGACTTGGAATCTGGCCACATTTAAAGCTAATTAAAGGGGATCATGAACAAAGTGAGGAATGTGTTCTTGGCTGCCAGTGAGTTATCAGTGTAGTAAATTCCGGCTGTGAGTTCCCCAGCCTCTGGAGAAGGATGCCCTTGCGTTCTGAGCAGCATGCTCAGCTTCTAAGTGCAGAGGAAAACCCAGACTCTGGGGAAAGGCTGTGGCTTGAGAGGTCGCTGCTACAGTCTGTGGGAATAGAAACAGGGCCCGGCCGGCTCAGGAGCCATGCTGAGATTCAACAGACTCACAAGGGAGTCTTCTCCACCCCACCCCATCCTAATTTGGACAGTCAAGTCTTACAGGTGAACTGGAATCATTTCTGTACAGGTGTAGAGAAGAAAAGGAAAGTCAGATGGACGGACACACAAGAACCACACTGTGGCGTTCTTCCCAAGAACCTGGGGCCTCTAAGAGGGCAAGGCTAGGAAGGGAAAAAGGAAACTTCGGGCAACAACAACATGCAAAAAGCAAGTCTCTTCCTGTCTCTTATACGCATTATTTTTCAATGGCCAAATGCTCCCAAACACTCCCTGTTTCATGATTATATACACAACCTTCACAAACTCCTCTGTCTCCTTGTTGGCCCAGGCCTTTCCTCTTCTTCAGCTAAGCAACAAACCGTGTCTCAGATGGAAGTGCATGAATTCTTTCAAAACCTGTGATTTTTTTATTTCCTTTGGAAAGACTTTGTCTTTATTCATAGGAGGTCGCGTAGCATATAAAAATTTAAAAATTTCTAACCCACAACTAAAAACAATAGCTCGCCTTTCTCCCGTATGTCCGGATGATACAATACATAGAAATTCTACTCCCTGTCATCCAGCCTTTCAAATGTGGCAACAGTGAACACTGGCTGGCCTTTGCTTACTGCGGGAGATATGGTCACCGTTTTTAGTGAACAGGGGAAGATGGCAGCCACGTGGGGTGGGAATAGGGGGTTCTTCTACTCTTGAATTGGAAGGACAGCGCTCACATCTCCCCAAAGACAGGAAGAGATGGGGCAGGCTGGGGTATGACTGCAGCATGAGGAAGAATGGGGGCTGAGGAAGGCCACCTAAGAGATTTCCTAGCTGAGCTCCTTCGAGGGGGGGCGGTGAGGCCAGGGGAATCAGAGGCTCAAGGTCTTCAGCTATGCCATGAGATCAAGACCAGCCTGGATTACATCAGGCCCTGCCTGAAATAAGTAGAACTATAATGGATGTCTGGAACCAAATGGTGACACAGAGGTTTAAAATACAGTATGCCAAGAGGCTCGGCGGGTAAAGTGCTTGCTGCAGACCTGAAAGTCTGAGTTTAATTGCAGGGACCCACACTGAGAAAGGAGAGAACAAATTCCCGCAAGTTGTTTTCTGACAGCTACGCGCACATCATAGCACGCATGCACACACATACACATATGCGCACAAATAAATGCATAAATGTGAAACGTTTCTAAAATTCTTTTTAAAAAGCCTTAAAATGTTTTTTGTGACTTTTTTCTGAATGCTTTTAAACCATTATCAAATATTGTTTGGTGTCATTAGTCACACTTTACACTTGTCTTCATATTTATAAATCTATGGAACTGACTAATCTCAGAGCTGGGATGCTTTTTGTTTTTTATTGTTATTTGTTTTAAAGATTTCCTTTGTTTTTAATTATGTATGGATGCATGTGTAGTTACAGGTGGTTTGAGCCAACATGTGGATACTGGGAATCGGACTCAGGTCCTCTGCAAGATCAGTGAGCACTCTTAACCATTGAGCCGTCTCTCCAGCCTGTTATTTACTTGTTTGTTTATTTATTTATTTATTCATTCATTCGTCTGTCTATCTATCTATCTATCTATCTATCTATCTATCTACCTATCTACCTATCTTCTATCTTCTGTGTCTGGATATTTTGCCTTCATGTATATCTGTGTACCACATTCATGACTAGTGCCCAGAGGGTTAGAAGAGGGTGACAGATACTCTGGAATTGGAGTTACAGATGGTTGTGAGCCACCATGTGGGCCCTGGGACTCAAACCTAGGTCCTATGCAAGAGAAGCCAGCTGTCTTAACTGTTGAGCCATCTTTCCAGCCTCTAGAATGCTTTTTTTATAGTGACAAGTGGAAACAATGAACCAGGTTTGATTTGTTAGTCTTCTGTCATAAATTTATTGGTTTATTCTCTGTATTACAAAATTGAGACCTGGAAAAACAAGGCCTGACTATTTAGTTCCATACACATGCTCTAACGTGTAAAACAGCTACACTGTTTCATTCATAGCCTTCACTATTTCTTTGACTTACAAAGTATATAAACATGGAAATTACCTATCACTCTTACTGCCAAGCACTGCAGCTACTCTTACTTAAGACGTTTTATAATCACCCACAGGCCCCTATAAGGAGGGAGTTCCTCAATGGAGAAGGCCTGGGCATATCCAACCCCTTAGCTGAAGTCAGGAAATAGCACATCGGGTGAGAGTGAGTTCTGCCCCCTTCCAAGTCTATTTGAAAGCACTTTCCATTTTAAATATAGCAATAAAATACCAGCCTCAGAATGTCTGATAAGGATAAAAGCAATAGATCCAAATCCAATCTAAAT